AGTTCTTGCATGAGGCCCATTGTTTCTAAAGCTGACAGAGTTACAGACTTCAAGCTGATTGTAAAAGTTAGTTTTGAGGCATGGACTTACTCTTAGGGTTAGCGATGGGGTTGGGGAAGGGTGGGCTGCTCAGCTGACTGACTGGATTCTTCATCTCACAGCTGAACTCTCTTATTTCTGAACTGTTCTCCTGCAAAAAACAAACTGTTACTAAAACACACTTTATGTGACATACCACAAAAATATGACTTTTTCTCACCAGTGAAAATTTAATAAAAAGCTGTTTGGACCACCTTAGCAGACCACCAGGAATCATTTTATCTTTTGAATAGCAAAAACACTACACTGGTTCTAACTAGCTGATATTTTATTTGATATGTTTAGCCCCTAAAAGTTTTATTTTTTATTTCAGCATTCATGTCAAAGTAGACGAATCAAATTTCCACTAAATTTGCCCTAATCTCATACTGAATAACTTGAGATTATTATTTGTGCTTGAATAATCCTATGAATAATAGAATAAGGCTACATTCACACTGCAGGCAAAACTGACCCATATCTGAATTCTTTATAGCAGTCTGATGGTGACAGATCAGATTTGTTCAGCTCTTTTTCACATGTGGTACTAAATCCTATGGTTTGGAGTCTACATGAACATATGATACTAGTGGTGGTATCAGATCGTATTGATCCTACTTTCATGATGTTACCCCTGTTCCTGAAGTCCAGTTCCTGCAACAGACAGGAAGTGCTAAGATCAAATGTAAACACTGGAAACAAGCCCGGCAGTTTAGTCTGCTCTGACTGCACAGCAGCTTCAGAATGGATCCACACATGCTAACATGTAGCTTTAACTTCTGTCAACACAGCGTGCTACTGGTGACATCATGTCTTTTTCTGTGGGTTGCTTCAGGGSTGTGGACTGTTCACACTGGARTCGGATGGGGCCAATTTAAACTACACTATGCTGCCAAAAGTATTTGCTCACCCATCCAAATGACTGTGCACCAGTGCACAAAGTAAGGTCCATAAAGACATGGATGGCAGAGTCTGGTGTGGATGAACTTGACTGGTCCTGACCTCAACCTAACAGAACACCTTTGGGATGAATTAGAGCAGAGACTGAGCCAGGCCTTCTGTYCAACATCAGGATGTGACCTCACAAATGTGCTTCTGGAAGAATGGTCCAAAATCCCCATAAACACCAGTGTTTCCCCTAGGAAAATGGTTTTGGTGGTGGTGGTGGTGGCGGGGCAACTTGTTTTATAAAAACATCAATTTTACATGACTCACCTTCAATTATAGTAATAAATTTACATTATGTGAATATTTAATTGCCTAACTACATCCTAAAGTTAAGGACTCCTTATGATAATTATCAATAATAATTTATCGTAGTAAATTATTATTGATAAGTGATTAACTCTGTGCAGCAGCAGATGATCTGAGTCCAGAGTTCTCAGTTTGAAACCTTCTGGAGCTCTTCTCTGTAACTCTAGATGTGACAGAGTGTGGATAGTTGATTGTCTCTTTTGTGTCTCTGATGGACACTGGAGACCTGTCCAGGTGTCTCTGGTGGACTGAGACCTGTCCAGGTGTCTCTGGTGAACTGGAGACCTGTCCAGGTGTCCCCTGCCTTCACCCAAAGGCAGCTGGGACAGGTTCCAGCCCCACCCTGACCAGCAAGTTTTACTTGTTTCCCTGCTATTCAGCAGGTCTTCACAAGATTATTAATCACCTTTTTTACTTATTTTTCTTTATTCTATCTCACCCTCTCCTGTATTGAGCTGCAGTAATGTGCAAATTTCCCCACTGTGGGATCAATAAAGTTTTATCTTATCTTAAAGTTTTATCTTATCTTATCTTATTCATTCAAAGCAGGTGTGTCAAATCGGGGAAACATCTAAACATGTAGGAAAGGAGTCCTTGAGGACCAGGGTTGAGAATCACTGCTTTAACACAGGTTATCTGATTTATTATTTACAAATAAATGGCAAAGAATCAATGGCTTCCAGAGGCAATACTAGAAAACATAAAACTGAATCAATATTATATTTTGAAAATGTCTCATCAAGCTCAGAGAAGCTCTTGAGGTGTTGGTCAACATTTAAAGCAGTGATTTTTAGATGTTTCCCTGATTTGACACACCTGGTTTGAATGAATGAGTGATTAACAATCTTCTGAAGACCTGCTGAAGAGGAGGGAAACAAGTAAAACATGCTGGATAGGGGTCCTTGAGGACCAGGGTTGGGAACCACTGATGTAAAGGATAACAGTTAAAAATGCAACTTTCAAAAAACTTCCTCTCAGTCAATGAGAATAATTTATTTACCACATTTTAAAGATCGATTATAATCTGGGCCCTTTAGGGTGCTCCTGAACGGGACTTGACTGGAACATGACTGGACTCACAGGGACCTGGTCGCACGCGGGGTCTGTGTTGGTGATTCTTGCTGTAATATATAAAAGTAATTATTGATAAGGTAACCATGCTGTGGCTTCACCTGTTGCATTTTCTTTTAAAGAAAGAAAAAGTAGCTCAAAGCTGTCGCATCGGTGCTACGTGATTAAAAAAAAAGCAATTTTCATCGCGTGTCTAATCCCACACACACGTTTTTCTATCTTTGTGAGGACCACACAGCGCTCACAGAGCGCTCACAGCCTCGCTCTGTGCCGTCTTTTTTTCCCAAATTTGGCGAGAGGTGGATATGGAGGGGCGCAAAAAAAGCTCTCGACTTGAT